ATCTTCTCCTCCTGCTCCCGTATCTTCTCCTCCTGCCTCCACATCTTCTCCTTCTGCTCCCGCCTCTTCTCCTTCTGCTCACATATCTTCTCCTCCTGCCTCCACATCTTCTCCTGCTCCCGTATCTTCTCCTCCTGCTCGTGCATCATTTCCTCCTGCCTCCACATCTTCTCCTCCTGCTCCCGCATCTTCTCCTCCTGCTCGTGCATCTTCTTCACCCGCTCCTGTATCTTCTCCTGCTTCCACATCTTCTCCTCCTGCTCCTGCCTCTTTTCTTCCTGCTCCTGCCTCTTCTCCTCCTGCTCCCGTATCTTCTCCTCCTGCTCATGCATCTTCTCCTGCCTCCACATCTTCTTCTCCTGCTCCTGCCTCTTCTCCTCCTGCTCCCGTATCTTCTCCTCCTGCTCCCTTATCTTCTCCTCCTGCTCCCTTATCTTCTCCTCCTGCTCCCTTATCTTCTCCTCCTGCTCCCTTATCTTCTCCTCCTGCCTCCGCATCTTCACCTCCTGTTGCTGGTACAGGCGGTTCCACAACTGGTTCTCTTCCACCTGGGCTTGGAGCTTCGCGGACACACTCTGCAGCTCCTTACCCAGGTGGTCAGCCTCCTCCTGCAGCTGCTGCTGGAACAGTGAAAGTGTTGGTTTGAACCTCAGAAGGAAACAGACTCATGGAATAGTCATATAAATGTAATCTATCAAACAATGGTTTTCACCCATGATCCTTTAAAATACATATTTTTAAGCCCTAACTCTGAGATTCTGATTCCCCAGGCAGGGCCCCACTTTGTAGATTTTTAGCACACTCTAGAGGATTCTATGGTGGGACCAGAACAAGGGCCCAAATTTTCCAGCTCTTGGCTGGAACCTCCCCATACCCTGCATGATCCCTAGACCATGGTCCCAGCCGGACAGGGATCCCACAACCCCCGGGGCTGTAGCTGCTTGCCTGTGGCAGCAGGAGCTTGGCCTTCTCCAGCTTCCTTTTTAGCTCCTTTACGTTGAGCTGGATCTCAGACTTCTCAGATTCTACAAGTTGAAATTTTTCTTGTAGTTCGGCATTTTTCTCCTTCAGCTCATCATTGGTTATGCTATGACCAGAGGCAGTAGATAAAGGAATGAACGAAGAACAGAAAGGACTGCTTTGGTGATCAACCCTCTACTTTCGCCCCACAACCACAGAACCGTGGCATTGGATGGGACCCCAAGAATTAAAAGTCCCAGGTGGCAGGCCAGAGAGAAGACATGAGTTGCCTGAGGCTACCGCATGAGTCAGTGGCACAGCCGGCACTAGAGCTTCCCTGTGCACACATGAAAACCTGTATGAGCCTCTCACCATGCTCACCTGTACCCCCACCTCCCAGCACACCCCCTACGCTGAAAAGTTCTCCAAGTCCCCACTAGGTTAGCTAGCTACAGAGGCAGCCTGAAACCTCTCTCTCCTAGGTCCCATGGTCCCCATTCCCCGTCCAGCTGGAAACCTGTGCTGCAACCAGAGGAACCAGAAATGGGCAAGAATACTTAGGGGACCAGGTCCCAAGACCAAAGGCCGGTCTCGTGGCCATAATGATAGTTCCTAGGGGGACTGTGAAATCACTACATTCCACTCCTCGGTGGAGTGGTGTGGGGGACACATGAGAGCAATGCCCAAGTTGTCGCTTTGAGATTGGGGAGGGGGTTGCTGGATTGGGACCCAGGTACTTGGAGACAGGAGCCCAAAGAGCCCAGGGAGGTCAGGCTTGAGGCGGTGGGAGGTGAGGGCCGAATGTGGAGCAGGGAGCCCAAGGAGTCACATGCCCAAAGTCACCCTGGGGCAACTGATGAGGGCAGGTTCTGGGGCACCCAGGTCTTTGGAGACGTGAGCCCAAAGAGCCCATGGAGGTTGGGTTTGGGATAGCAGAAGGTAAGGGCAGAGTGTGGAGAGGGAAGCCCCAGGAGTCACCAGCTCAAAATCGCCCTGGGGTGACTGGCGAGGGCAGGGGAAGGACTCATGAGGGGAGTGGGCTGGCTCACAAGATTTTGGTGTGGGGAACCCAGAGGCACTTGGGAGCACCCAGCCCAGTGTGCCTCAGGAGTGACACAGACTCTGGCAGCAGTTCGACTGTCAGAGGGGACCTGGGGCTGGGTTGGGGTGCTGCAACCTGGCGCGTTTTACCTTTTGCTTGGCCTCGGCCAATTTGTTCTGTCGGGTTTCTTTGGACATCATGGGATGGGTAGGGAGGTGGGGTTGGGGCCACATCAGCACGATCTAGGAGAGGACAACTATACACCTCCAGTCACCTACCAGGTAGCTGTGTGACTGAGCCAGAGGAGGTGTAACCAAGGCTGCACTAGAATGCAGAATAGGGGCATGGCCTTAATGCTTCAAGCCCATTGGTCAATGAGAAAGATGAAAGAGAAAGAAGGCGTGTCATGAAGGACCTGTGGTGTCACAAGGAAAGCTGTCCCTGCAACCGCTGTCCCCGCCCACTCCAGGAGAGGGGCGGGGCTGGCTTTCACTTTAAAAACTTTAAAACTGTATTACCTCAATTGAGGTACAAATCCTATGAAAATGGAATTTTATAGTGTGCTTGATGATTGATAAAGCAGACTGTATTATCCAACATTCCAATAAGATAATATAATCACAATGATTTCTCTTTTTTGGAAAAACTTTCTCTTTCGTACTTTATTGTTAAAGTTTTTTTTTAAAAAAAGAAACATGTATAATATCTTTAAAAACACAAAGCTTTTGAGCCAGGCGCGGTGCCTCATGCCTGTAATCCCAGCACTTTAGGAGGCTGGGGCAGGTGGATCACCTGAATTCAGGAGTTCAAGACCAGCCTGGCCAACATGATGAAACCCTTTCTCTACTAAAAATCCAAAACTAGCTGGGCATGGTGGCAGGTGCCTGTAATCCCAGTTACTTGGGATGCTGAGGCAGGAGAATCCTTGAACCTGGGAGGCGGAGGTTGCAGTGAGCCAAAATCATGCCACTGCACTTCAGCCTGGGCTACAGAATGAGTCTCTGTCTCTAAATACATACATACATACACACACACACACACACACACACACACACACACAAAGCTTTCCATTTAATAAACACTCAAAGGTCTTTACAAGTTTAAAACAAATACAGGACCCTCCCAAAGTAAGGCTAAATGCTAAGTGATGTGGGAGAGAAAAAGGACATAAATAACTCCTACTCTCATGAGGTTAATCACTAAATCCTATTTTTCTAGAATCACCTGGCCTCTCTAAGCCCTGAAAATGAAATTGAATTTCTCTCTCAGTGATTGGCTATGACTTGCAATCATGAAAACCAAGAGTTGTGTTCTGTCACTGTGTAGTGCTTGCTACCTGGGATCAAGGGTTGAGTTTTTCATGATTTGCTCCATTACCTGCGTGCTTCTTATGCCAGACCAAACTAAGCTTTTTTCTAGAGTCTACAATTTATAGTTAGTATGTAAGAGTGGCTCTCAAAACTATAGTCTCTGGACCAGCAGCACCTGGGAACTTCTTATAAATGTAAATTCTCAGGCCCACCCTAGACCTGATGAATCAGAAACTCTGGAGTAGGGACCAGCCATCCACGCTGCAATAAGCCCTCCAGGTGTTCAGGAACCGCTGGCATACAGCAGGTAGAAAAATGTGTTTCCTTCTGTAGGTCCAAAGCCAGGGATACTATATGTTCTGTCTCGATACGAAGCAATGACATGCAATTAAAAGACATGAATCTCCTTCCTACTTCCACCCTCCAGCCAATGTGTTTTATTTTTATGAGTTCAATAAGAAAGTGAGTGGCAATCAGACATTTCTTCTAAAACGTATATTTACAGATATCAGTTCTCATCCAGCCTGATCTAATCCAGTATCATTTACATCCTCTTACATCTAAAGTTTTAGAAAAGGATCTTCACAATGTAAGACTCAGGCACACTAGGAGTTCTATGATGAAAGACCAACTAGATCTGAATGTCCAAACTTGAGAAGAAAGGTGGAATCATTGGCTATATTTTCAAATTGCATTCAACAGGAAATTAAAGTTTGGAATTTGTTTCACCTTCATCCTTTCAAGTTAATAGAATTAAACCAGAATACTCCATTCTCCCAAAGCCTCTAGCCAGGCAAAGTTTTACTATATTACTTCTTGCTTTCCAATGGATACAAAGCAGAGTCCTGGTAGGCACATTTTGTACACCTGCAAAGATGCAAAACTAAACAGTTCCCTCTGTTCCATATTAAAACAAAAGTCCTGTAAACCTCAGATGGTGAGTGTAATACTTAGGCACTAGCATGAAAGCCTCAGATATAAAAAGATACCAAGAACACCTCTAGCAAAAACAGTAAGCTGTTAGCCGGGAACACTAGTTCACGCCTGTACTCCCAGCATATTGGCAAGCCAAGGTGGGGTAAGTCAGGAGTTCAAGACCAGCCTGCGCAGCATAGCAAATTCACATCTCTACAAAAAATTTAAAAATTAGCTGGGCATAGCGGCACACACCTGTAGTCCTAGAGCTACTTGGGAGGCTGAGGTGGGAAAATCACTTGAGCCCAGGAGTTTGAGGCTGCAGTAGCTATGATCAAGCCACTGCACTCCAGTTGGGATGACAGAGCGAGATCTAGATATTACATTCTGTCCTGCTCCTGTTTCCAGTAAAATCACTAAGTTAAAATTTTTTCATGCAGCAGGATAAAAATTAAGTGAAATGTGACATTGGTGCTTGGCTAGCAAAAAATAAAGCGAAATGACAAATTACGTACTGGGAGAAAGTCTTTGTAACCTCAATGACAGATTAAAGGTTTGTATCCTTAGCCGATAAAGAAAAATTTTAAATTACTCAGAGAAAAAAATGAAGGATTTCCAGCAGAAAATCAGCAAAGGAGAAACTGGCACTTCCCACAAGAATAAAAATGGCCTATAAGCATATGAAAAAGATTCAAAAGCACTAGAAATCAAAGAAATGTAATGAAAACAATGAGATTTTCTGCCTAAAGACCAGCAAAGATGACAAATGGAAGGGGGAACCTGGAGCTCTGTCCCTGTTGATGGGAGTATAAACTGAACCAATTTTCCTACAGGATAATTTGAACATTTCTTTTAAAAATCTTAAAACTGTTTTACATTATTTTCCTCTAGAAATTCTACTGTATGAATTCAGTGCAAAAATACTTACTTGAGTCCATTAAAATGTACATAGAAGGAAATTCAGCTCTGGGGTGCCAATGATTCACTTAACATACACCCAGCTATTAAAAATGATGATGCCAGGATATATTTCTGCCACAGAAACATGCTTAAAATATAGTGAGTGACAAAGGACCATATATTATGATTCTACTTTTTAAAATGTATATAACAAGTGTAAAAAGCAACAAACCAGAATGTTTTGAGTGGCAAAATTGAACTACAAAACAGATACAATTCTTAGAAGATACATACAAAAAGCTCTCCTAAGCAGATGGCCACAGAACTAGAACATTGATAATTTTACTGGGGATGTCAATAGGACTCCAGATATTTCCAAACTCAACTTGAACTCTCATCTTAGGCTTGTTTTGTATTTTGCTTTTCCAGTTTCACTAATGACACAAACATGCTATAAAATGAAAATCCAGAAATTCACATTAAAAAAGTATATTCTGAAATGAAAGGCAAGAACAGCATTTTACATATAAGA